AAGAATTACAATTTTTTTTTGATCACAGATTTATAATAGAGATATTTTCCTTTTAGAAACAGCTTCCAGAATTATCATGATAATTCTGACCACGAACAGAGTCATGAGACATATCAAATATCTAAAGTATTTGTATTAAAGGTATTTGTATTAAAAGTTCTAACAGTTAAATTTTAATTAAAATGCTAATAAAAGATTATAAATATGGCTCCACTAATAATCCAATCATTATTTTAAGAAAATGAAGAACTGGATTCAAGCTGCTGGTGTTTGCACTAATATTAGGGAGTCAAATACTTCAAAACGTGAAACTCAACTGTCTCATCCATTCATTGCTTTGTGGGTTCACTCCAACACATATCTTTTAAAGACCTAACTCCTGTTCAGTGGATTTCCCACTATCATTAACTTTCATGTCTGAGTTCTAGGTGAGCACCTTTATGTGTATTCCAATCCCTACTTTCTTAAGAATATGTAGTTGTAAGTGATGAACCATTCTATAGTGTTCCGATAGATGAAATATTAAGCCTGGAACGGTGGTATACACCTGTAATGCCAGCACTTGGGAGCCTGCAGCAGGAAGATTGCAAGTTTGAGTCCAGCCTGTTTAACTTAGTGGGACCCTGTCTCAAAAAAAACAAAACAAAAGATTTCAAAGGATGGGGCTGAAGATGTAACTCAGTGAAAAAGGCCCTGGGTTCAATCCTCAGTACTCAAAAAACATGAATTGTTAATACTCAAAAGTGATTACAATATTTGAAAAAGCAAAGAAATGAAACATATTTGAACACTATCATCTAAGCCAGATGTGCACTGCTTGCCCCCAGCTAACTTATCTGATAAACTCATGGCACCCTGCTGTGTCATCTTGTATCCCATAAATTCTTTCAAGTGACTTATCTACACTGCACACTTAAAAACATCCTTAAGTTCTACCTTGCCAGGTCAGTGAGAAACCCACCTCTCTGTCACCACGGCTGCCCACTGCACTCACACAAGCACCCAAGTCTCACCCACCCCAACCTCATCTCACTTTGAAGCAGGACAGCAATAAATGCCACACATTTTCAAAATCAGTGGTGTCACTGTTGCCCACTAGCATGGGTACTGTTAGGTAGCAACCTAAAAACAAGCAAAAACCACCAATGTTCACACAAATACAAATCTTTTGTTGAAGTCTAAGGGACAAAGTTACAGCAAAAGCCTCTACTTAGCCGGGGAATTTGTTCACATTTTTAAACAGAATTCCTTATCTTGGTAATTTCATGGGCAGAGTAACAAAGGTGTGCCTGACTGCTCTCTAGGTTCTACAGAATGTTCTAACTCTGGACATCACACCACAACCAATGGCTCTATTCTCAGGCCCCTCCCCTCAGGTCCCCAGTACCGGACTCAATTGGAAACAGCAGTTCTAAGTGAACGGTCCACAGCTCTGGACTCTCACTTACAAAACCAAAAAAAAATACTATCATCTTACAGAAAAAGCAATCAAACATGCATGCTGTGGATTACAACATTCACACAGCAAATGTAATTATATTATTTATTTCTACAGCTATTTGATTTTAATTCTCTGTTAAGCATGAGTATATGTATATCTTTAGTATAAAAAAATTCCATTAAGTGGAAACCTTAATTCCCTGTTCACAAACATCTAAGCATTGGGTTTTCATATTCAGTCCATTTTTTACTATATATTCTGCCACGTTCTTTCTGCCTTAAGAAGCCCAGATGAGAAACAGCTTCCCTAAGGGTCAGTAAATACCCACTTCCTGATATCAGGGTGCTTCCTGACAAGGACATTCTCAGTCCTTTCTCCCTTCACTTATTTCAGTCAAGCCCAGGGGCTCTTGTTCCATAAGCTTCTCTATGTAGAGGAGGAGCTGCTGGTCCTGCTGGTGATCATCCACAGTACCTGACAGGGGATGTCATGATACAGGGCCCCCTCCCATCAGCAGTGGCTTTGTTAATGACATTTAAGCATAAAGGCAGGCAGGAAATTTCTACTGTCTTAATTCTGAAAAGAGTCTAACAAATCCCTTGAAACTGATGAGCTACACCTGCAAAGTCATTTCTATTTCAGGGGCCCAGAGAGGGGACCACAGCAGAGGCAGGTAATATTCATGCCACATGTATGGTTTGTCTGATAGGAACTTAAAAAAATTTTTTTTAAATTTACTGCAAGAGTCAACAAAATATCTTTTGGGGAAAACAAAACAAACAAACAAAGAAAAAACTACTGCCTTCCAAAATAAGATCAACTACTAAGAAGAGTCAAGAGGTGAGTCTAGCTGATTGTCATTTTGACCTTGCTTTGCTTTAATTCGGGAGACTATTTAGACATGGAAGGAGCAATCCCTTTCATTCGGCTCAGCTAGCAGAGCTAATAGGCTTCTAATTAATTTCCAGAAGATTGCTGTAATAACTAACAGGTTTTAAACATTTGGTTGATTGGGGAAAATGAATTGAATATAATGTATTTGATTTGGAAAATTAGTTTTCATTCTGTGTGCTTACCATAATAGTGTTTATTTTAAGTTTACATGATTCCATTAGGAGTCCCAGAACACCACCGGGTTGTTTTCATCCCTGCGGGGTCCTAGCCAACTTTAAAAAAAAAAAAAAAAATCAATTTACATTTAGATTTTTGTTGGCCTTTATTGGAGGGCAGGTTAAATTCATTTCTGTGGCTTTCATAAAAAAAAAAAAATCTCTGCTTGCTAATATAGCAACAGGCCTCAAATACTTCAAAATGATCCCGGAGATAGCTCAGTCAAAAGCCCACTCAGCAAATGCAAATCCTCCGGAGAAAGGCTCTGCACACAGAGCAAGATGAACCAGCAAGGGCATTGTTTATGAAGTTTCACTTGATTCTTCCTGACAACCATTTAAACAATGAATGTTGGGAAATGTCCCTCAAAGAATCAACAACAATGGCAGGGATCAGTGCTTTTATATTTAGCTAATACTATTTTTAAAAGGAGAAAATATTTCTTCCTGAAGGGATTATGGGAGCCTTATTAAAGACACCTGCAAACAAAACAAGTGACAATAGATCTTCATCATAATTGATAACTGAGTTATCCTTTATATAAAACACCTTCTTGCAGACAATAACATCAAGATTTACCTTCGCTATAGATTCAAGAAATCGGCTAATTGGGACCAGGAGTATTCAACAATGGTTAAAGTTTACCAAGATTATGTGAGTGCATAAGAAAAAAAAGCACTTGTCTATCTGGTTAAACAGAAGTGCAAGACTAGAATTTCCTCTGCGCACAATGCTGGGAATGTTTTCTCCTGAAGTCAAGCAGCATCCATCCTTTTCCCACCACAGGCGATACAAAAACACTCGAGGGATTCTAATTAGCAGGGCTCACTCTGCTAAGCACACAGTGGGCCAGCTGCCTTTGGAGACCCAACCTTGGCCTAGCTTGTAGTTGTGAAGAAACAGAACCTTTCACAAAATCTTCTTGAAGTAATCAGCAATCGTTGTCAAAATGTGTACTTCCTGTCATCTGCATTCTACGCAAGGAACCAAACTGTTTTAGTGAAAGACTGTTCCCAGGGGATGAATCCAGCAGGACACACTTGAGAAAAATAAGTTTCCAGGAAAAAAAAAAATCAGAAGTGCTTGTTTGCAGTAAAAAGACTCAACCCATGAATCTCGGGCAAGTCCTAAATTAGGTCACCTTGGTGTGCAGGGTTGACTTACCCCAGGTGACACTGTTTGCAGTGTTTATTCCTGCTTCCCAATGCAACTAATGACTTCTGGTCATCATTCTGGCCTATTATTGATTTTTTTTATATAGTTTATTTTTTACATTAAGAAACATTGACTCCTTTTATGCCAGTGACCTCAGAGGGGATTCTAAACTTGAAGATTATCTGACCATTGAAAAACAAGAGAAACGATCATGAGGACCGAGCCATAATCACAGACTCTAATGGTAGCACTTTCATTTCTTAGCCCTAAATTTGGCTCACAGTTAGAAATGCTATGAACTGACACTTAGGGAAAGTTAAAAAGGTTCAAACTCATGACAGGTTAGCCACAGGGGCTGGCACCTTAGAATATGCTCAGCTCTCAATAGATGCATTTCATTTACAAAATAAACCCGTGAATAAAAAAAGTTTCACCAGCCCAAATCACTGAAAAGAAGACACAATTAGACAGCAGATAAAATAAATACCGCATGCAGCAGTACTGAATGAGGAGATGAGAGATGAGATGACCCAACATCATGCTTTAGGATCTCAAGTTCACAGACAAAACAAATGTTTTATAGAAGGTATTTCTAAGGGATTGCTGGTTTTTCTCATTTTAAAAAAGAAAGACACCTTAAGACAGAGCAATCAATGTTTGAAAAGAAAAGCTGCCTAGAAAAACAGAAAAAGACATTTTCTGAGATGACTTTGATCCTGTACTCAAATTATTGGCTTAAACATGCTTGCCTTCAAAGGCTTTGTATCTGCAATAACTGCTCTCTATTGTCCTTGCTAACAAAGTATTATTTTCACCTTATTATTACTAATCTTTCCTTTGTAAGTAACCACACCTGGTTTTATCCCCCTCCCAAAAGGAAAAGAAAAAAAGCAGTGCAGTAAATATTTGCCCTTTGTGGTAATACAATGCATAATTTAGTTAATCTGGGCTATCTTTTCGTGAGAGGTGATTGTTTCTATATTATGAAATGTGTTCACAATGAAGTGAAATCCATGCCAGATACCTGGGAGGCAGACAGAGAGACACTTACCCCGCATGTAGCTGCCACAAACCAACCCTGACAGGACTGCATGGCCACTCCTACACATAAGGTGTTACTCATGCTAACTTAACCACACCTTTCTTTTACAAACATGGGTTTTGTATTAAGGTAACATTACACATCACCAGGGCAAGGGCCTCCTGCTCCTATTCCCTTCCCCCATGAAACAGCCCTGGAAAAAACAGGAACTTCAATTATCCATTTGACAACTTGACGTTGCTGTTACGTTACCTGGATGAAATCTAGAAATGTCAAGGGAAGCAAGTCATCCATATGTCCAATGTCTTTGGAGAAACGATTTAAAATTCTTCCTGCAAGAACAGGATATGAGAAATTACTCATTTCCCCAGATAGACCCTTTAAGAGAAACAATTCCCAAACAAATCAAAACAGTATTTTAAATGCATATGTATTTAATATATTATGCATTCATATGAAATAAGCCAATGTCAATGGCAAAGAAAAAGAAAAGAGGATGATACCTAAAGAGAAATAAAAATACCAACAAACGGTACTAAGTGGAGAATTACAGTGTGGCCCTGATTTAAAGGGGAAAGGGGTGTCTTGCAACGGTGACAGTATTTGGAAGGGTTTACAAGTTTTATTTACTTTTTGCAAGTGTTTGGGTTGGGGAATTTTAGAACATTTCTCAATTTTTGGCCCCATCTTGGACTTCAAGTGTGAAGTTGATAGGTGAATCAGCAAAATAGTAAATTAATCCCAATTGTTAGGCTAATTTTGCTTTAGTTATCAGGATTTTGGTAAGCAGTACATTTTTAAATAAATGTAATTGCAACCTCTGTATTGTATTTTGCTTTATTTTATTTACTTGCCAAGATGGTTCACAGTTCTTTCATTTTGGGAAAATCTGAAATCCATCCAGGTTGAGAATACTACTAAAGTACAAGTCATTATTTTCAGAAGGGAGCTAAGTGTGACCAAAGCAGACTGAAGCGTCTAAGAAGATGAGAAAGTGTAGGCAGGAAAATGGATTAAAGATCACTTCTTATCACTGATTTTATTTTCCCTGTCAAGCACAATCCAAGAAAATGGTGATTCAATAAAAGTTGCAGTGACAGAAGGTTAAAACTGGTATCTAATAAATATCTGCTGTCCTTCTGGTGTAATTTTAAAAATTGAAGCTGCACTCACATGGAGCCTCTTCTGATGTGGGCAACCCAATACATGTGTCTGCTGGCCCCAGAGGCTTTGGGAAGCCATGCTGCTGGTGCAATGCAGAGCCCTGGGTGACCTTGCCAGTGTCAGCCTGAGAGGACTTCTTCAAGGCCTTCATATCACAAAGCCACTGAACTAGGAATGATTAGGGGCAGAGGCTGAACTCTGTATTTCTTACTTGGGGCACCTGGGCTCAGTCAGGAAGCACAAGGTGTGGAAGTCTGAGACGAGCTGAGCCATGATTTTCTGTCTTGGGCTCAGGACATACAAACTCTAAAAAGTATCCTTTAGTGACATCTCTGGCAGGCCCAGTGACATCTTAGCCTCTAATAACACCTCCTCTGGAGCTGTCCCGAGGATTAAATGGGGCATGCCCGGGAAGGAAGCTCGTCACAATGCCAGGCACTTTTAAACAGATACTCAACAGCAAACAGAATGCGGGATGACAGCTATTACCGCAGGTTCTGCAGCATGCCATCTGGGGAGGAAGTTCAAAGTGTGAAAATGCAGATTCTGATTCAGGGGCTGGGGCAGAGCTTGAGAGTCCTCATTTCTTTTTTCTTTTCTTAAGACTAGTCAAGTGCAGTAGTGAGAAGGGGGGACAGAGTAGAACAAGGAGTTCAATCTGTACTGACTGTGAACAATCAATTGAGATATCTCACTACCTTCGGACCAGCCGAGAGTCCTCATGTCTAAGGAGCTTTCAGGATGCCCTCCCTGCAGTCTCCCAGATCACAGTTGGAGGAGCAGGAGGTTAGATAAGTGCTACATATCTGAGGAACATGACAATCAGATGGACAACTTTTCCCACCTATTCTTACAGTAGCTTGCTTTGTTGTATTTTTAACTTCTCAAAAAATCAATACCAAAAGAAGGAAAGCCCATACTAACAAAATATTAAACATATACTTGAAATTCTTTCTTTCAATGGAATAGTTTCGACTTTTTAACATAGGCAAGATTCAGACAGACATAATGAAAGTATGGTTCTACTTAAAAGGTTAATGGAAGTACTACATATAGATGATCTGTATATGAAAATCACCTCTTTATCTTCCATTAAATGTGATGATCTTAAGGTCTAAGAGACCCAAGGTTTGCCAACAGCATAAAATACTATCTAAACACAAAATCACCCAGAAAAGGTCTCTCTCCACACAGCTACTTCAGTAACTGAAACTCGTAGACTGTTCAAAACCCAAGCTCTTATTCACCAGCTAAGTACAGAAAATGCGAGATTGAAAAGTTCGATAATTAACACTTCATTGCTCTGAGAAACAAAGAAGTCAATGTATGGTGCTTGCAGAGTATTTCACCTGGCACTGTGGGTAGACTACTGAAATTAGAGCTGTGATGTCCATTAAGGTTCCACAGTCATTTCCTCAGCGGTCTCTGAATCAAATCTGATGAGGAATTCCTTCCATGCTCCTGCCATGCCTCTTCATCCCACATCCTGAAATGTGTCCAGGATTGGAAGGGAAGGGGAGTCCATTTCCTAGGGGAAGCTCAGTCCATTTTCCAATGGTTCTGGTACAAAAAGCCTGCATACATTAAACCTTCCCAGAACGTTCAACTGTTAACTGCTGCTTATTCTGCACTTACAGCTGCCAGAGTGAATCTAATTTCTCTTGATATGACAACTCTTCTTATAGCCTTTGCAGACTTCTCAAGAGCAACTGACCCTTGGTGCCTTGATTACCTCATACCAGACAAATGGCCGGACTCACTTTGTGCCTGGGGCCCAGGACTAAGATCAGTACTCTGGGAACTGTCTGAATTTCTCAGGGTTAAGTGGAGGACACTATCTCCTCCATTTCACAGAATATAGTCAAGCACAAAGTCTCCAATCAGATGACATTGAGTTCTGGTAGCCAGATCTCATACAAGACTCCCATTAAATGAAAATCGACCCATTCCATGTTTACATGGCAGAGGCTGATACCTAGAAACAACCAGGCAAACACGAGGAAAAGACTTTAAAGAGTACATCTTATTCACCTAGAAATTCTATTTCTAGGAAGCTTCCCCAAGTACAAAGATGCTCATAATATTCCATTATTTGGAAAGTCAGAGGTAGGAATCAACCTAAATGTCCAAAAACAATGCAGCATGTATGGTGGGCAATTTTAATTTCTCATTAGTGTAATTATTATGACTTATTTTTAAAAGTACAGTAGGAATGGGAAAAGAAAAAGAAAAAGATGGCAGAGAGTACAGGAGAAGGAGACTGATCTCTTTGAAATCCACACCATACTACACTGGGATTCTCCTAACTACTTAAGTTCACATTATTCTTTTCTTTTTTTTTTTTTTTTTGTCTTTTTCCTTTTTATTGGTACTGGGGATCAAACTCAGGACTGCCTGCTTGCAAGGCAGGTGCTTATGCCGCTGAGCTAAATCCCCAGCCCCGAGTGCACATTTTTCTAACTTGAGAGACAATCATGAAAGATGTCATTAAACTTCTCTCAAAATATAAATTTATAAGAGAGGAACTGGTTCTAGAATCTAATCTGGGGGAAGCATCACCTCTAGAATTTCGACAGTCAAGATTCCCACAGTCAAGATTCTCAGCTTTCTTCTTGCTGAATGATAATTTATTTTGTTTTGGTTTTCTATTTTATTTTAAGATAGTAAAATACAACAAAATAAGACAGAACGAAGCCACTCAAGACAATGCAGCAATAAATAATTTGAAGCATAGAAGTTCTCGTATCTAGCTTGAACCTCATTTTCTTTTTTTTTTTTTTTGTCTTTTTTGTTTTTACCGGTACCAGGGATTGAACTCACGACTGCCTGCTTGCAAGGCAGGCACTTATGCCACTGAGCTAAATCCCCAGCCCCGAACCTCATTTTCAAAAGGTTATATTTATGCATCAAAATACTGAGATTTTTTTATTAAGATATAGATTTTACATGTATATGTTACATCTCACAAAATTTACTCATTTCAAGTATACAATTCAATGGATTTTGGTAACTCTGCTGAGTGATTCAACTATCATCAAAAATAGATTTGAAACATCTTTATCCCCCCAGTAAAATCCTGCGTGCCCTTTAAACATTTTTTAAAAAAAAATTTTTTTTTTTGAGATGAAGTCTCAGCATATTGTCCAGGTTGGCCCCAACTTGTGATCCTTCCGTCCCAGCCTCCCACGTAGTTGGAATTACAGGCGAGTGTCACCCTCTCATGCCATTTGTAGTGATCCCTACCATACTATCAGGAATTTACTTGGGGACTCTAAAAATTTGCCTATTCAACACCTCTCCTAAGAATGGAATCATCAGATACGTGGTCTCTGGCTTCTTTGGCTTAGCCCTAAGGTCTGAGTTTCCTCCATAGCATGTGTCAATGGTTCTTCCCTTTTAAGCCCTTTCTTTTCCACAAAAAAATAGTCTTACGTACCAGCCAAAAAGAGTCTTATCAGGCCTTGAGGGTAAAAGCAGATATCTTAGAGGGCAAAATGTTAGATATAGTGAGCGATTTTATGTGTACCCATACCTCTGTATAAAGAAGATACAAATCGAGAACCCAGTGATGACTATAAACTTAATTCTTCTGAAAAGACTTGTCCTTTGAACACGGGGATAGTTGGTAGAGGACTTCCTAGAATGTTCAAGGTCCTGGGTTTAATTGTTAGCACCCAGGGCGAGTTGCCATATCTGGGCCACTTAATACACTGGGTGAGGGTGGACCTACATGGCCCTGTAGCTGATGGTAGGTGGAGCAGAGGGACAAATAAAAGAACTTGGTGAGAAGTGGAATCTAAATCTAAGAAGACTAACCCAAGGAGCATAGCCTATACAGTAAAGCAAAGATAACGGACCCCAGGCACAGAGCAACACAGGGGGTGATGAGGTGTGGCACAAAGGCTGGTCCAAAATAGAGGGCAAGAGGTGTCACTGTGTGAGTGGCATAGTTCAGGGAAGTCATTCAAGGAGTGAGCCGGCTGGACTTTTCCGTAGTATTCTACACTAAGCCAGACCAGCCTGAAAACAAAACAGAAGCTATAGAGGTCTGGTAATTTGGCCCATCCTCTGTCCTTCCAGTTAGAACAGTCCATGAACATGGTGGAGGCTGACAGAGTGAGACGAAACAGGAAGAACAGCAAGAATGAGGCTGCACAAGGTCCTCATT